ATATTAAATTATTTATAACTCTGGCTTGAATATAATTAATCGTCTAACATTTTACCAACATTTACAATTATAAAATAATTGACAAATAGTCGAAACAAAAATTACTAGTAAGTAAGATTACATGAATTACATACTTAAACATTACACGTTTGTTTTAAATAGGTACCGAATTAATTTCTACAATTAATAGTATACATGTATATTATATTAATATATTATTTATATTATATTATATTTAACCCTTTGAATGCTTAATGCTTCTGTTAACATGAACTGTGTTGATTAAATACTCAATACGCAACTAATAAGTTATGAAAAAACATAAAAACTCATATATGCGTCCTTAATCCACACGGATATCTTTCACTGGATTCCTATATGCGTTTATAGCACTCAAAGGGTTCACATATATTATATTTAATATATTATTCTTAATTAAATTTGTCTAATTAACGTTGACTCATCTATTGCAGATTTTTTATATCAGGAAGCTTTTCTGACAACGTACAGAACATTTATTCAACCGCTCGAATTAATTCAAAAATTACATAAACGACATCAACGTTTTTCTTGTTCTCCGGATGTTACGAAACAACGGGCAGCTCGTGAAGCTTTTTCCTTGTTAGTTAGAGTAGTCAGTGATTTAACGTGAGTATTAAAAAAATAATCATTAAAAGAAAATAATAAAAAATAATAGAATATGATATATTTCTATAATACTTTTTTTTTTGTCGTTTACAGTATGTCAGACCTCGATGATACCTTGTTACAAACTTTAATGGAATTTGTACAGCAATTAGTATGCAGTGGTGATTTGACAATGGCTAAAGCTTTAAGAGTGAAAATATTAGAAAAACATGCCGCCAAACAATTACAATGCGCGCAACCAATTTTATCCTCTTTAAGTGTAACGACAAAACAATCATCACTTTTAGATTTTAAAAGTGAACAGATCGCAGAACAAATGACTTTATTAGACGCAGATTTGTTTATGAAAATTGAAATTCCTGAAGTATTAATATGGGCTCAAGAACAAAACGAAGAAAGGAGTCCTAATCTAACGAGATTTACAGAACATTTTAATAAAATGTCGTATTGGGCGAGATCTAGAATATTGGAGCATAGATTGGACAACGAAGCAAAGGATAGAGAAAAATATGTCGTCAAGTTTATCAAAATAATGAAACATCTTAGAAAGATAAATAATTTTAATAGTTATCTTGCCTTGCTTTCTGCGTTGGATAGTGCACCAATTAGAAGACTCGAATGGCAAAAACACATTACGGAAGGCTTGAAGGAATATTGTGCTCTCATAGATAGTTCTAGTAGTTTTCGAGCATACAGGCAAGCTTTAGCGGAAACTCAACCACCGTGTATCCCATATATGTAAGAGAATTATCATATAATTATTAATACTTTTATATATTTTATACAAATTGAAAATATATACAAAAAAAATATATTTCTTTTTTGTTTACACAGTGGACTCGTCTTACAAGATCTTACGTTTGTGCATATTGGGAACAGTGATTTGTTACCAGATGGTACTATTAATTTTTCTAAGAGATGGCAACAATTTAATATTGTTGAAAATATGAAGAGGTTCAAGAAAGGGTAAGCTACGATTAAAAATCTTGATTATTTGAAAAGAAAAGAAAAAAAAAAACAGAAACTAAATAAGATTAAAAAAAGAAATAAAAAATATAATTAAATTAATTTTATTTCCAGTACATATTCCTTCAAGAAACACGAGCGTATTATAACGTTCTTCAACAACTTTAGTGATTTCCTCTGTGAGGAGGCAATGTGGCAAATATCTGAAAGTATTAAGCCACGCGGTGGAAAGAAAGTTCAATCGCAAAACTAGAACATATCTAACCCTTTCACTGCCTGTGTTTCAAAATCAAAAGGCTGAAACGGTGAAAATTCAAAGTGATTATGTTTACGTGGGAACTTGCCCTTTTCTGCAATTAAAAAAAAAAAAAATAAATAATAAGAAAAAGAAAATAATAATAATAATAATAATAATAATAATAATAATAATAATAATAAAAATAATAATGCATATACGCGTATATATACATATGTAATGTCTATCGAAGGAAGAATCTAGTATGTATATGTACGTATGTGTGCGTAAAATATGTGTACGTATGTGCGACGCTCTGAGAGCGGTGAAAGGGTTAGCATGGTCTACCCCAATGTGTACGCAACCTCTGTGAGGTTGTATTTTAATATTTTTAATTTATACTCGCTGAAAAGTAATACAGACAAACAAACAAACAATATTAAAAATTAAAATATAACAATCCAGCCTAGGACAAATGCAATCTTGTACAGTATTTGAATTTTAATGCATTGTCTTTTAAAAACAAAACAGAATCAAATGCATGAGAAAAGAGAGAGATAGAGAGAGAGAGAGAGAAAAAAAAAGTAATATCAATAGCAATCAGAAGTCAAAGGAGAAACAGTCAAAATCTAGTTAGCACAAAATTAAGAGATTAATTATATTATCGTTAATTCAATGCATTTCTCATAATCTTCCTTTTTAAGTGCACATTTATATGAGAAATACATATTTGCCTTGATATCCAAATTGCATTTAAAATATGATGATGTATCTATAATAATGCTTAGCTTATAGATAGAAGAAAAAGAAGAAGTTAAGAACAAAAA